GCAAAGGGCGCCATTGTATTCAACGGTGTCTCTGCATCCTACGACACTTCCACGAACCCAGTACTCAAGGACATCAACCTTTCCATAACACCTGGTGAAAAGGTAGCCATCTGCGGTCGCACAGGTAGCGGCAAATCTTCCCTGGTATCAACTCTCCTGCGCATGCTGGAGCTTCAATCAGGATCGATTTGCGTCGACGACATCGACATCAGCACCATCGCTCGCCAGGCCGTTCGTGCTCGCTTCAACTCCCTTCCGCAAGACCCGTTCTTCCTACAAGGCACCGTCCGCGAGAACCTTGACCCTCTCGGGGTCGCTACCGACGAGCGCTTGATCCAGGCACTTCAGTCTGTGCGCCTATGGGACTTTTGCGAGTCTCGTGGCGGGCTGGATGAGGATATGAACGAAGAGACCTTGTCGCATGGACAGAGGCAATTGTTCTGTCTTATTCGAGCAGTTATCAATCCAAGCAGCGTCCTCATTATGGATGAGGTGGGTAGCAGCGTTGACGCGGATACGGACGCTTTGATACACGAGGTTCTGCAGAAAGAATTTGAGGCGTGCACTGTCATTGCTGTTGTTCACAAGCTACACACAACGCTGGACTTTGATCGCTTCGTGGTGCTAGACAAAGGGCGGATCGTTGAAGAGGGCCCACCGCGTGAGCTGCTTGAACGGCCAGGATCACTGTTCAAGGCGCTATATGACAGCATGCAGACAGAGGAGAGGTAATTTGGTATTTCTTGCTCCAGTTAAGGGCTAAAATTCTGGTAATAGTAGATGAGTATCTATTTTTCGTTTAGAGTATAGTCTTCTTGTTAGGCATGGGATATAGAAAATTAAGTCCTGCAACTTAGAAGTGGCTGTGATACAGTATAATGTTGACTACCTTTAACAATCTCAACAATCTTTTTAATAAGGTGCTTTGGGTAAACTGCCTAGTCTATTTCTGGCTTTAGAAGAACGACAGCTTTAGAACAAAATGATCACTTCGATTGGAATGCTACCAGTAAAAATCCACTATGCTAGGTCTAGTATCAACTTAGGGGTATTCTACTTGAATTAAATGGCCACACAGGCAGCAGTCGGGATAAAGCCCCACCGCTCCGATTAGGCAACCCGAAGGGCCCAGGTGCGGGGCCGCTCGGGTGCTGATCCTCAGGCCCCAACGTTGAGAGCTACACACTAAGCCTTGCAGCTGACCAAGCGTGTTATAATTCGGCCCCCATTCTCATGCCAGGTGGCATCTGTCATTTCAAGGTTTGAACTGAGGTCTTTTCCCTCAAAGAAACCGCCTGGAACCTACATGAACAGGCCTATACAGTGGCATTCCATAACGCACACCGGTAATTCGTCAAATCAGCAATATGGATCTTTTTCACTCGGCAGGGTTTGCGTCAGATGTGACAGAGTTGATGAAGCAGCAGCATGTCCCGGGGCTGGCAATTGCAATCATACACAATGATCAAATTGCCTCTGCGGGATATGGACATGCGAGCCTGGATCCCGAAATACCTTGTACAGCAGATACGCTGTTTGACATTGCATCGTCTGCTAAATCACTCACTGCTGCGGCGGTGGGATTGCTAGTCGACGATAATGACATGTTCCCAGATATTCAGTACGATGCCGTAATGTCGACTCTTCTCCCCGAGGACTTTGTTATGTCTGGAGAAGGATACACAGAAGGAGTCACCGTGGAAGACATCTTGAGTCATAGAAGTGGAATTCCTGGGTGAGCTAATATTTTTTTTTTTTCAAATTCCATGTTTGACTTCAAGACTAATCCTATTGCGCCAGCCATGACGATTCGTATATGAGTGTGCGAGCGGCGAAGCCAGACAATGCTCGATCCATTACGAGAAACCTCAGGAATCTCCCTGTCGCGGCCCCCCTTCGATCAAAGTATATTTACTGCAACATGATGTATACAGTGGCAACCCACCTTGTGGAAGTCAAGAGCGGACAGGATTTTGGTACCTTCCTCGAAGAGCGATTTTTCAAGCCTCTGGACATGGCATCAACTACGCTTCAACCCAGCAGCGCACGCTCAAAAGGATTTGGATCCCGCATGGCAACTGGCTACACATGGAAAAGGGCCGACTCAACATATCATGGGTTAGAAAGTCCAGACTGCCCAGAAGGCCAAGGCGCAGGGTCTATCATTTCGAGCGTGAACGACTTCATCAAATTTGTCAAGGCTTTCATGAATCGCGAAGACCCTATCAATAAAAATGTTTATGAAGGGCTCACTCGCCTGCGAACGTTTGTGAATCCAAACCCAGGAAGACGGAAGCGGTGCAGCTCAACGGTAGCATATGCTGCTGGCCTGGATATCTACTTTTACAAGGGACATATGGTTGTCGGCCATAATGGGGCATTCTCTGGATTCGCCAGTCGCTTCTTCTTTCTCCCTGACTTCTCATTCGGTGCTGTGATCATGGGAAACTCAGATGGGGCAAATGGCATTGCGACGACCCTTGTCCAAAAGCTAATTGACCATATCCTTGGAGACACGGACGAAAAACCTCAGGACAGCAAAAGCAAAGACACACGATCTGTTGAAATTCGCGGTCCAAAACCCCAGGCCGGGGCGAAAGATGCAAATCCAATGAGTAAGAACCAGGAAAAGAAGGAGAAGAAAAAGCAGGAAAAGAAAACCCAAGCGAAGAAAAGTCAAGGTATCCAGAAGGGCCAAGTGAATGAGCAAAAACCAAAACGGAATACTCCGCAGCCACCGACAATACCCCTCAGTGCTTACGCTGGCAACTACTGGAATCCTGGGTATCATAACTTACTGGTTCAAATCAGAGATGATGCGCTCTTCATCGATGCTACAGATCGCTCAATGGGGTTTACCTTGAAATTCGAACATGTGTCCGATGACCGAAAATTCGATGCTCATCTTACTGATTGGCTCGATGGCAGTGATGACATCGTAAAAGCGGAGTTTGTGATAGAAGATGCTCAAGTCACAAGGTTGGGTCTGCAGTTGGAGGAAATGCTCAAGGAAATGATCTGGTTCGAGAAGAAGGATGGAGTTCTTTCTTGACAGTATTTCTCCTGATAGAGCTGAATGCATTAAGTGCCTACAAGAGGATATGTTGCAAAGAGAAGGATAAAATTAGATTGACAAATATTTGACCAATTGGCCTATGTTCAAACTCTCCTATGTAACAGCAATCCTCTGCCGAGTTGGTTCTGATCAGGGCGAATCATGCTCCTGCTCAACGAGCATGATCATGGTTTCTCTTTTCCCTGACTACCTAGGGATTCCAGAGTATAGGATGCTGCACGTGATCTGATGACAGATCTTAACAAGACGTGATGAAATCGTATCTGCTAGTATACTCTGACGAATGAGGATCAGGCGGAACCAACCCAACCCGGATGAATTGATTGATTAAGAAACTAAAAACATTGAACCTGTGCGAGGACACATTGAGTTGTCCTCGCTAACAAAAACGGGATTCGGGGTTGGAATTGCCGAATTTCCCAAATGTCGATACCAACACTGTAAACTACATACAAGAGTGGACTTAACGGGTCCATTTTCCTTGACAGATCTATTGGTTGGCTCTCGGTGGCCGACCCGCTTGCCGCTTACATTAAATCTTTATCTTTTATTATATTATATGCAGGGCACAAAGGTTTATACAAATACTATAGAAGGTAGATATGAATGTTGAGATTGAGGATGATTTATTGAAATATGAAAGGAGGCTGACCCTGTAGACGAAGAGGTCTGCATTACTCCCTGGCAACAGGCACTATAAATGAGACTAGATCATCTATACTTATCTGGGATCTAAGTTCATCTGGATTCTAGAGCAGAAATGACTGTCATCCAAGATGTTTGACTTTTATAAATTGGACTCGGAAAAGAGACTCAGTAGGACAGAAGCTAAGCTTCATTGATTCAATATAACTAATACTACTTTTATAATCATAGTCCAGCTCATAAATTTTCACTAAGTAATAAAAGATAGAACATCAGCACAAGCAGCTGGATACCTATAAGCTGGTAAAGTTATTATTCTCTCACCAGCTGTTACAGCTTCTCCGCGCTTATTACGCGTTATACAGTTCACAAGAAGACTGGGAAATCCAAATATCAGCTTTCAATTAAAATAAATAAAAAAAATTCAGGCCAATAAGGACTAAGTTAGTTTTGCTTGGCACTGTCGACTTAACTGAGGTCATCTCTTCGTTTTCTCTTTCGCACTCGTATCCGGATACCTTTGCTCCGACTTAAATATCTGTAATCATGCTACCATCTAGTTAAGCGTTACGAGTGTGGACGTCACCTGACCCGTACCGTTCACCTCGAGCAATTATCACTCCCAGCCTTCTGTTCTAGTCTGGTCTCGGCTTTTCTTCGACCTAGCTCGGTGTAGATCCCCCAGCAAACCCCCAACAAAGGCGGCTTCTCTTCGGAAGAATCTGTCACGGCCTTTTGAGACGTCCTTCCTTGCCATCCGCCCCAGTTTGACCACACCTTGGGGTAACATTCCGTCTTGGGCATATATACTTTCTGCGGCTAGTGCCAGATTGCTTGAGTTAATCTACACGGATTATGGAGAGCGAAGAGACGCAGTGGGCTCATTGAGGCTGCTACTGGTTACGGCCTTCGTAGTAGCGGTATACAGCCACAAGACCCCCCACTTCCCACCATGCGATTCCCGATTCGGGGGTAGTATTGAGCGCTACGTCCATGACCAATCGTCGGCGTGTTATGTATAGCTGTGCGTTGTGCGACGAGAGAAGCCGAACTTGGCCGCTGAGAGGACTATTGATAAGTGGTATAACGGGGCAAGCATATAGAGAGCTCATCATAGGCTCAAAAGATAACTCTGATCTTGTCCTTATCTGTAATAAATTAGAAAGGAAGGCCATTTCTGGACCGATTACTTAGGGGGTCTGAGGAATTCCGGCTTGTATATACTATATGTGCATCCATGCCTATCTATAAATCACAAACACCAGACTAATATAGTAAGCTACGGCAAGCTCTCACCACCCTCCATCTTCAACCAAAACACCCGTTCAGCAGCCCTCCCCCGACCCCCCGGCGTCAATAACGCATGCACTTCACTCGGATGCACCCATGCAAAGAGAGCCATAACCAGCACCATGAGCAACGCATCAAAGATGTACAGGTATACCTCATGTGATACTAGATACCCGTCATTTCCCTGCGCATATTCAATTAATCGGAACAGTGATCGGACAAAAATAAGCGCGCTTCCCCCGTACAGGGCGTACATGTGCCGCTTCCAGGGCGCTTGGGAGTGAAGGACACGGCGTGATGGAGTATTCGACACTCCGCGGTGGAATTTAATACTCGTTATGACGAAGAGCGAGAAGAAGATTAGTTGTACGACGAGACCGCCGATTATGATATTCTCGCCAGTGGTTAGGGCGTTGGGTGTTCCAGAGGCCATTATCCCGCCCCCTGAATGTGTCTTAGCAGAGTAAACCTGCATTAATAAGGGAGGTAGGGGAGATTACCTGCGCCTTGCATAATGAACGAAATGATGTCTCCGAGCAGGAATGTCTTGGTTAGCCACGTTCGGCGAATGAGGCAATATGCCTCTCCGTTTGTTAGGAGCACAATCCGGCCGAGCTCCATGTAGACGGTTGCGGCGAAGAGGGTGGGTGCAACGAGGAGGAGGAGGGTTTGCAGGATATAAGGTTTCACAGTAAAATCGGGGGCCTCGTCTCCGGAGATGGCACGCTAGAACGTCAGTTGTAGCACAAGAGAATGGCAGGTAGACGTAGACCTACGCCAATATATCCGATCCATTCAACTGGATTGACATGGATTAGTGGTGAGACTGCGACGGTAGTCGAGGTTGAAGACTCACAATGTCCGCCGATGACAAACGGGATGACGAACCATGCTCTTGTTCGGGCTACTTGGAACGTATGAATGCCTGCTGCAGCCAGGAAAAGAATGATGAAGACGACAGCTGCAGCAATAGAGGGATCGTATCTGTATAGCTTAAACTCTGAATTCTCGCTAGCCATGTCGGGACGTGAAATATATGCAGTAAAAGAGAGTGTAGAGTCGCATCAAGTGTAAAGAGTGGCAGGCATGATGAAAGTACACTCATTGTTCGCTACGATTATCTGTACTTATAGTTAGCAAGCCAGAGAAATTTCAAAGTATAAAGTGGCTGTATTGTTTCAGGCGAAGTCGTACTCGTAGTCGTGCTCGTACCCCTTTCGGGATTCAAGTATACGCACCTGGGCAGTCTTATGGCAGACCCACCAGTCGCCGGCTATAAGAGCTCAGGGGTCCAACGCCGAAGATGATTTCTTCAACTTATCTACAACAAGATTCATAATGGCTGAACAGAACCACATTAACTTCAAGTTGTACAGATATACACCCAGCCGCGCCGCAGCAGGGATATTCGTGGCCCTTTTTCTCCTCACGACAATATACCATATCTATCAGTTGTGGCGCAGACGGGCATGGTACTTTATTGCCTTCGTAATCGGAGGAATATGTAAGTCAGACTCTCTTGTTTTTCTCCTCATGAGCGTGAGAGACCGATGGAAAAGAGTACTAATAGTGAGCCTTTAGTCCAGATCATCGGCTATGTCTGCCGCATTCTCGCCCATAATCACAAAGAATCAGTTCCAATTTACAGCGTGCAGACCATCCTTATCCTTCTCGCACCGCCACTCTACGCTGCCTCGATTTATATGGTCTTGGGCCGCCTTATTACCTTTTTACGTGCCGAAAAGCTCAGTCTGGTTCCTGTCCGGTGGATGACTAAGATCTTCGTTGTAGGAGACGTGATTGGATTCGTCGCGCAGGCTGCAGGTTCGGAGTCTTCTATCATCTCCCTTTGACTACTAAGACATCTAACGGAGCCCTGCTAGGCGGCGGCATCATGGCATCCGGCACGATAGAAAACTACAAGCTCGGCGAAGACGTCACCGTCGCCGGCCTGGCGGTTCAACTAGCCTTCTTCAGTGTCTTCATAGTAACCTGCGGGATATTCCACCGCCGCATCCGACAATGGCCTACACGGGAAGTGACCGTTATCTCGGCCCGTCTCCGCGAACAGAAGAGACCGGGTTGGGAAACTGTCCTCGCGGGACTCTATGCTGCGAGTCTACTGATTCTTGTGCGGTCCATCTTTCGGATTATTGAGTATGCGCAAGGCAATGATGGGTATCTTATAAGCCATGAGGCGTTTATGTATGTGTTTGACTCGACCCTGATGTTTTTTACCATGGGTGTCATGAACGTGTGCCATCCTTCGATGATTCTGGTTGGGTCTCAGAAGGGGAGAGATGCGGAGATGAGAGTTCTCGAGTCTGATGAGCAGAGTAGTTAAGTTAGAACTGCGTGCAACGCTAAGGTCTGTTCTGCGCTTCCTCTGCTCTATACTCTTAGCTATAAATATTTATACAATCTTTGATACATGCTAGGTAGGCTTATCAGTACTTCAATGTGCCTCGTACCACTCAAGGAATGGGACAGACCCTAAATGACGTAGCAATCATGCTGGTCGGGCGCTATATCATTATCCAACCGCCTTAACGGGGTTTATATCTACTGCCTAAGGTAAACAAGGACGAGAAAACGATATTGAGGAATGTCTTTCTGCCCCCACAGATCATCCGAGACGCCAGAATGTGTAGGCCTATGCGAAAATAAATATGCTGTCAAGGACTCCATCGCGAAACCACGGTTTATCTTTCTCTTCTGCATGCACAATCATGTCCTTACCCAGACGGACACATCTTTCGGTAAGGGGCTCATCACGGATAGAAGGCTCACGACATGGCCATAGCACCAAGTTCACTCCGAATTCCAGGGCCACACGGAATGCCAGCTCATCTTTCAGCTTCCCATATCCGACCATAAACTGGGTAATCATTCCGGATGCCACAGTGACCGAATGGAAGTGAGTGAGGACATAAAGTTCAGCGAGCATTTGACCGAGGTCGATAGCTACTGAACCGAGGTGAGAAACCTCCCAGTCAATGATACTGAGGGACAGCGTGCGACGTCCAACCGAGAGTGATCCGTCTGAAATAAGAACGCTATTTTAAACGTTAGCTGGTGGACGACGAAGATTGTGCATCGCAGGTAATTCACTCACTTGCGACAGCCAAAATCACCATGTACTAATTGGTCCTCAGTGCCCGCAACCTCTGTTTTCAGCCGCTGAATCAACCGTTCAAAAACATGGGTGCTGCTTCCAAATAAGGCCGGATACCTTGCAATACTCTCCCTTAAAGAGCCGTAAGTTATATTATACTTCATTTCCGCCATTTCATGATTGCCCTTGATCTCCCGACGCAGCGAAGCCTGATCTGGCATAGCACCCCACTCGTGGAACCTACTCATCCATCGTCCTAGTGATACTCCAACATTGGAAACCTCATTTGTGTCAAGCTCGGGGGTATTGAGATAGACCTGAAGCTGCGATGATCTAGGGAGGTCTGAAAGAATCGCGGCGTGGGATGCAGCATAATACTCATACAGAATAGGAGAGGTCGTAGTGACGTTCTGAACCTTGGCCGGAGGAAGGACCTCCATAGCTTTCAGCATGAGAGCCTCATATTGCTAAAAAAAAAAAAAAAAGATATAAGTATGTGTGAGTTTCCGCCTAGGTGGATGCCATACAATGCGCGTCACTGATGACTTCCAGTCAGAATTGGCGGCAATATACGGTTCGGCGTGTTTTACGATAACCCGCGTAGTTGGCTGAGTGGTGGCAAGGGGCGACACAAGAATTCCACGATAAACAAAATTTACGTAGCCACCGGAGAGCGGGATGAGATCTGTACATGCATAGGGAGTAGTCTCCAAAGCAGAGAGTACCTTAGCTAAGATCAAGTCGGAGGGATGCATGGTGACTGCGAGCGAGAAAAAGTCAATGTACCCGTATGGGAGGGCCGAATGTCTGCCGCTTTTAATCGCTGGAATAAGCCTTCCTGCCTACCGTTTTGCTTCACTCCGTCCGAGCCACCAGCCCATAAGTAAAAGGGAGAACAGTGGTCACGCCCTTGTGGGGATGTCCCTTCCTCGGCTGAGAATATCTTAAGCTGAAGGCCAGGAAAAGACGCGGCAGGGTCTGCGGTGGAGAAACGTTTCAATTTCTTCCCACAGACACTAATTGTCCTGAAATAAATGCAACCGGTGAGGCCGTGAGTTTAAAGATAGGGAAAAAAAAAATTGCAAAATGCATGAAAAATCAAAGATTAAACAAAGTTGAGGGAACTCCGCAGTTATTCCAGCTGATTATGGAAGATCTTTGCTGGTCGTATCCGTTTTCGTTATCGTAATCTCATCAACGTGCTACTACGGAGGCCAACCGTGGCTGGCCCGCTTTGGAAAAGTACGATATTAATAGACTTCAGGCCCCAAATAGGGTAACCACTAACCAGAAGGTTGCCGGGACGCAGCAGGATAGGTGGATACCGGGAGATAGCACATAACTGCTATCTTCCCCCAAGATTAACCATAAAATAGGGCCTATCCAAACTGCTAGTTAGATGACTTTTAGTAGTTGAGATCTACTATCCAGTATCCATATTCCATATTATTCAAGAACCCCCGCAGGGTCCACTTCGTTATGTCTCCAATTTTTTAATGTTGCCTAATAAATGCCTAGGCATTATCGGCCGCTGTTAATCGCTCTCCCTTCTGCGGTCATTTCTTTCCCGATCATCGTGGTCCAAACACCATCCCCAACCCACTCCCCGGAGCAGAGGAGCCATTTTCAATCTTTTGCCATTTTGACAGGTAAAATTTCCAGATAATCAGCCCATCTCAAGGAATAAACACAATAATTGCCGGCATGCCGCCGCGCAGGTCTCACAAGAAGTCCCGCAACGGCTGCGAGCTGTGCAAGAAAAGAAGGGTCAAGGTCGGGAAACCCTGCGCTTCCAGCTGCTGTCTCTTTTTAAAATATTTCTCTAGATTCGGCACTCGCGCGCATGCTAACACACAATCATGCGATCGTAGTGTGATGAACAGGACCCGTGTTCGAATTGTTTGACGCGGGGAACGACTTGTAGCTATGAGCATCGACCTAGTCCGCTTATTCATCGAAATGGATCACATATCAGTGTGTCCAGCTCTGGTTCTGAAGCGATAGATGAGCGTACCCGCCGAAATTCTGCCCTTCCATCTCCCCGTCAGGACATCTACGACTCTTTCTACCGGAAGATGAGCGTACTCGCCCGGTCGTCAGAATGGACTGGCCGCGACCCCGAGTTAATGCATCATTATACTCTCTACACATCTAGGTCTATTGCAAGGAGGCCGGAGATGCAACAAGTGTGGCTCGTTGAAATTCCTAAGATTGCATACTCGCACGAGTTTTTGATGCATGGAATCCTCGCCCTATCAGCATTACATATCGCAAGTAACTGTCCTGCAGAGTACAGCAGCTACATGAAAAGCTCCAGATACCATATTACTCTCGCCTTACGCTCCTTTCGCAAGGCTCTTCTCTCACCAACAGCCGAGAATTGTTGCGCACTGTTTGCCTCTTCGAGTATAATCATGGTATACACTTTTGCAACCCCCACAGAGCCAGACAGCGCTGGTGCATGGGCGATTCTAGAGTCGGTTATAGAAATCTTTAAACTCTGTCGAGGTATTCTGGCACTCAAGAGTTTTATTGATTCCATCCGAAACAGCCCTCTTCGTCCACTGTTTCGGCAAGACTTCGACGCATCAGTCTGTATCGCGAAGTAAGTTTCCTGGTGAGCGTCAAAGGCACCTTTGAACCGTGTTTGTCTGCCTCACCATTGTAGAAGTGCAATATGGCATGCGTTAGCTAATTGCGCCCTAGGGGGAACCCAAACAAATTATTCCTTGGCATGGAGAACGAACTTCATCAACTCAGGTACTTCCTTGATGTGGAGCTCCCAGAAAATCATCAGAGATTCCCCTGTTGTCATGCACTGGAGCAGCTTGACTTTTCATTCAAGTGTATTCAGAATGCTGAGTTGCCCTTGGAGTGTGGGATGATCTACATTTGGCCTCTCTCTTTCGAGGAAGAATTTGTGCATCTTTTGAAAGAAATGAACGTGGGAGCCCTTGTATTAATGGCCTATTATTGTGCTCAACTCTGTGTATTTGAAGATTACTGGTTTGTTGGCGAAAGAGCACGGTCACTCTTTTCGGAGATCTCGACTGCATTGCCTGAACGGCTATGGAAATGGCTGGCCTGGCCGAAGAGCATCATATATCATACAGTTGACTTGTAATCATTTTACGATGACTACATTGTTAACTAGCCGTTGGTATCTTATCAGTAAAGAGATACACTGTTGAATGAAACTGTACTAGCTACTATGTGTCCAAGATCAAACCATATACTATATATAACCAGCGGAATCATTCGGGACGTTATGTGCCACGTGGAATACGCTACAAGCAGACTATATATATCAAGCGGAACAAATTCAAATGATAATACTTCTTGATCGCTCTACAGAGCGTAGTATCCGGTGGCTCGTCTCCTCTGTCTTAACAGCAGCTGAGCAGTAATCGGAAGGCTAGAAAGAGTCTGTTGATAAGATAGCGTGATCTTGAAATTGGTCTGTCTAAAATGGTATTGATATATCAGCAACCATTTAGCATTCATTGCAGCAGTAAATGCGTGTATCAAACCCATTCCTGCTGCATAATAGGAGAAATAACTGGCTGGGGATATTTTTTCAAATTGGAACCTGACGCCCATCGACTGTCACGCTGTTTCAGTGCAGTACCTGTACTATCACGTACGTACCTAGTGTCAAACCCTAGGATCGCTTCCCTGTCCCAGTTAGCTTAGCCCCGTTGGTATACGTACCGCCGAACTGCGTTGAGGAGGTATCAAATAATAACTATCTGAGAGATAACTCAGTTATAAATAAGAGAAGAGAAGTAGTAAGACTGAATAGTACCGCGCAGTTATTTGTAAGTGCGGACGAGTATTCTGTAGCTAAGCTTCTAAATATATAGTTACTTAAAGATAGCAGTTATATTGAGTACGAAGAATAGAACTAGTTAAGTACATAAAAGAGTATCCTTATATATTTTTTTATATGGCACGACGCTGGTATATGGTTTGGTAAGTGGTTGGTATATGGTTGACTGTCGGTATACTCCTGAGTATACTATTCATATACCAAAGAAGTCACGTGATGTGTGGCCGTTCTGGACGTCCTTCCAGCCGTCCGTAAATTTACTGTTTTATTAATCTTAACCACCCGGTAGATATAAGGTTACTGCTTGATGAATAGAAACACTGAGTTATAGAGTACTACCCTTTCTGATTGATTAGACTTGATTTGGCAACATGGCCTCCGATGCATGCACATAAAGCCGCAGCGACAGGTCACGTTGCGGGATATTTCTGCCGAATGCATGTAACATTCCCACTATTTCTCCGATGTTACTTTCCTCCTCCCCTCTGAAATCATTGCTTGAGCTTTCTTCGGATGATGAAAACCACCCACCTGAAAAATCCATCCCAGCCAGCTCTACCAGAAGAGTATAGAAGTTCCCACATCCTCCTATTTGTATACTCCGCCCCCACCCACGCCAAAACAGAACTTCTACTCAAGATCAGCTCATTGGCCGGTGATCGACAAAACGATATACAGATAGCAGCTTAGTCTTATTACACGTGGTTATCAAACCCCCTAATCATCGGATCCGATCCTCCCCTCCGAGCGCGAGTCAACAAAAAGATGCGGAGCGGAGCGGCGCGGTCGTTCAGGAACGTCCGAGCCGCGCCGAGCTCAGCCCAGCCCTATTTATTATGCTTTACTTAAGATAAGTTTTCTCTAACTAACTATGATGATGTTTAATAAAGAAGCGAGTTACTTTTATTTCTTTCCGCTCATTATAAGTTATAAGATCAGTCTCAACAGCGCGAAAAAACCGACGGGCGGAGACGACAACCGGACACAATGGCACCTTCCCATGAAGCAGCTATCAATAACCAAACAAATGATGCAGACATTCTGGATAAGGAAGACCAAAGGTCTCAAAATACGCTGCAAGAGTCAGAGTTAGCTGCCGATACGGAGAAACAGGCTCCCTCGCAACCTCCGGCGCAATCGCCGTGGGGGACGGCTGATCCCCCGCCTGATGGGGGATTCGCGGCGTGGTCGGTTGTGTTGGGGGCGTGGTGTGCGTATTTCTGTACTTTTGGGTGGATTAATAGTATGTTTATTTCTCATGTTTACTGTGTTCTTGATTTCACTTCTAGAAAACGGGAGAAGAAAATGGCTTGTTGCTAGATACGTGCTAATGGGAGCGCAGGTATTGGAACGTTCCAGACTTATTATGAGACAACGCTGTTGAGTGAGTACTCGACGAGTACGATCGCGTGGATTCCTTCGCTGGAGGTGTTTTTCATGTTTTTCATGGTCGGATTCTCTCTTCCTCCTGCTAAATATAAGATTTCCAGGCTGACCATATTAGGGACCCATTGTTGGTACGCTGAGCGATAGACTCGGTGCTCGCGTGGTCATCATCGCAGGCTCCCTCCTGCATGTGTTTGGGCTCATGATGACCTCCATCTCTACGGAGTATTACCAGGTCCTGCTGTCGCAAGGTGTCTGTAGCGCTATGGGGCTGTGTGCTATTTTCCAGCCGTCAATGAGCTCCATTCCCAGCTGGTTCAACAAGAAACGCGGCGCGGCGTATGGAATCATCGCTTCCGGGTCAAGTGCCGGTGGTGTGATTTTCCCCATCATGGTAGACCGGCTCATCACTCGTGTTGGCTTCGGGTGGGCGATGCGCATCGCTGCCTTTCTAATCCTGGGGTTGCTTGTCGTCACTTGTTTTACTGTGAGGGCGAGAATTCCGCCAATGAAGCAGCGGATGGATAAGGAGGCGTTGTTGCGGCCGTATAAGGAGGTGAAGATGTTGTTCTTGGTTTCCGGGTTTGTCCTGTTGACTTTCGGCGTGTTTATTCCTATCAACTATATGGAGACGTCGGCCATTGCGGATGGGATGAGTACGAATTTGGCGCAATATCTGGTTCCGATTTTGAACGCTGGAAGGTGAGTGGCGCGACTATGCTCTGAAAATGATAAGCATGCTAACGGGTGATAGTCTTTTCGGTCGAATGGGGGCTGGCGCATTCTCCGATAAAGTCGGGCCATACAACATTTTTGTCGTGGTCTGTTCACTGACGGGCATCTTGGTCCTCGCGCTCTGGATCCCTGCGACCAACAACCCCGGTAATATCGTTTTCGCGGTCCTCTTTGGTATCACTTCGGGCGCATACTTCTCCTTGTCTGCTGCCCTGGTGGCAAAGATTGCCCCGCTCCGGGAGATGGGCTACTGGACTGGTGTGCTTTTCCTGTTTGCGTCGATTGGTGCCTTGACAACAAACCCTATTGCGGGCGCAATCCTGCAGCGCGATGATGGGTCGTACACGGGCATGAAGATCTATTCGGGTATCTTTCTGTTGGCAGGCACCGTGTGTGTCCTAATGACGCGTATTCGTCAAACAGGCTGGGTGCTTAAGGCGAAGTTCTGAGTGTTTCCCTCTTGTCTGCTCATATGAGTCGGTTTCTCTTGTGATATAGTTAATGTAATATTCTCTTGGCTGGTTCGACCTTGCTCAAGCACGATCTCAAATCTGAGTATCTATCAGATGCTCGAAGCCCGTAATGTCGACACTCTGCATTAAGCCAGTCCAGTCCGGAAACCCAAGGACGCCCATATCCCAATTTACAAAGTCGAAGAACGACTCAACCATTGGCGCCTCCGCTTGATCGGCACCTGTCGGTTGGTTCTCATCGGCTGAGCCCGTGGCCTGCTCCGCAGCCACCTGCATCTGTCGTATATGCAACGCCTTGTCGCGCAGGCGAGTGATTATCGCCCACTTTGGCCCCGGGTTTGGCCACAGGGGGTCCTTCTCGGTCAGGTCGAAAACCAGGTTAATTGCTCGCCATGCACGTTCAACATGCAGCCCCACTGGATACACACAGAGGTGCCACAATATGTATGTGAGGAGAAAGTAAGGCATAAATGTAGAAGAAAGCCAGCGATATCCGCGGAGAAGCGCGTCGGTAAACATTTCATTGGTGCGTTCGAGGGCTTGGCAGGAGATGTCCAGAGTTTTGGTCTGCAACTCACGACGCTCGGCGACCGGTATTGCGGTGCTATTTGTCTGGAGGGCTTTTTGGTTCAAGTACATTTCCATCTTCAGTACTAGAACCTCCCCTAGTATCATTCCTTGTCGTTGAATGGGAATGTTGGGATCGCCGTGTTGCATATAGGTGTTGTATACGTGCTCTTTTGCTTCCCGCGCTATCTCAGCGGGATCTTTCCCAGTGACTTTGGTTGTCAGTGTGCGATGCAATTCCAGGCGCTTTTCGTTCACTACTGTTGTGATCAGGGATGCTGTCATCTCTGTCCAGCAGTCTTTGGACTCTGGTGGCACCGTCGCCGTAGCAGAAAGGTCCTGATCGTCGATATTTGCAGGAAATGCGGTGTCGCAGACCTCCTCGCCGCTACTGACACCAACTCCATGATCCTCGACCGCGCGACTATCAGCCGTACAAATGTGCCACCAGAGTCGGCGGCGCAGCTCACATTCTAGCGGAGTCAACTTGAAGTGTCTTCCGTCACGGTGGAGTCCAATGGATTGTGCTGCCCGGATAACCAACCCTCGCATCGTCCATCCAGATCGACCGCTGTTGTAATAGCGCAAGCACATCTAAATATGCCGTATCATGAGCTACAAGTCCATATAGCAATACTAGCTAGCTGGTTCTTACCTGGTAGATACTTATCGCTTGCAGCGATGTTAGTGTGGGAGCGTCCAAGAAATTCGACTGATAGAGAGCAAGTTCCAGCCCTTGCTGGTATCGCTTGACTTCTGATCGCCTCTGTTCATGTGCTGGGTCCTCGGCAAGCACACTTGTTGTGGCCGCAAAGAAGATGGCAAAAAGCAAAGCATGGAGATCAGCGGGCGCGGCCGCTGGCTCGTTGATAGCCGCGAATATCCGCGGCTGAGTCGATGGAACGTGAAGAATCTTGATTATTGGGTCGATGCGGTTCAAGAAGGTTTGCCACAGCTGTATCGACTGCCACTGACACGGGTGCAGGCTATAGAGATCTCCTTCCTCCACATAGCGACTGACAAGGAGGCCTTCCGCTCTGAGCGTGAGTGGGCGCCCGGAGCTGCTGGTATCGCTTTTCGGCGTCCCAATGGCAGATTGAAGCTCTTTCTCATCTTCCAAGACCCGAGACAAGAGTTGTTCATTGATATACCGGCCGTCCTCAACTAGAAGGCCGTCGTGCGATGGCTCCGCCGCCGCATTTGTGCCCGTCGGGGACGGTTCTTTGCTTGAGGGGGACCCCGCACCTGGTGCAGAAACGGTCCGTCCGTCTGCCACTTCGTGCTGAAGGTGAGGCAGCAATCGGTTTCCAGCTAGAGCCGCGATGGAGCGCTCAAGTGATTCCAGTCGGGCAATGACATCAGAATTGTGAACTTTTGGAGGCCGACGCTTGACGCGATTAGGGCCGGGGTATTGACAAAGCACATTTGCTCGTATACAAGACCCACATGGAGAGCTCTTATCGCAGCGGACCTTGCGTTGATGGCAGCGCAGGCACGACCGTTCGACGTTATAGCGGCGTGCGGATTCCATGGCTACGCTCGCCTTTGCGCGCTGCAAGGGGTCAGACTCTAATCAGATAATTCCCGGCCTGCTGCAAAGACAAATTATGGCAGATAAATTCACGAGAGATTGACTCGATAATCAGCCTATGAGTTGAAGAGTTGATGCAACGCCAAAGTAACCTCGGGAAGGCGGCTGTTCGCGAACGTCCGAAGAACCGAGAGGTGACATCGCTGAGTCAGCCTATAAGCCTCCCACGAATAGCTTCGAGCAGTTACTTGATAGCTATGTTGCTGCTCGCTTGGCTAAGCGAACTCTCTAAATAACCACCGCCTGCTTAAAACGGCATACTGCTCCGAAGATGCAGGCAACGATGATGGTGCCACATTCAAAGATGCGCTGTCCGCAATGGCTAGTTCTCCCTGTCGGTAGTGGCTATTTGGGAAGTGTTTTGCCAACAGTAGGCTTTGGCCCCATAGACATTGCGATCATCTCAATCATGCTGCCCACCTGTTGTAATACTCTAAACACACGCAGATAACAGCGTGCATGGATTGTGTGAGCAGTGCGCGAGAATTGTAAAGAAATGATAAAAAGAGCAGACAGTATCTTCCCAAACAGATGACATCTATCTCGTCAGGACTGGGACTGAAAGACAGCCCAGGTATGTGGACGTCTCTCTAATCAGTAAATACTTGATTTCCATTTACCATTCATATGACATATTGGCCATCCTATTCCGCTTTCTGATCATGTTAGTCTTGGAGAAAAGTCTCCTGTCTTCAACAGAATGCACACACACCTTCAACTACCACTTTTGTTTCAAACAGGGTCATACAGCATAATGATCCCTAATCAATAAACAGGCAATTACCTACACTACTATATAACCGACTGTTTTTTCAATTTCACCGTAACTTCTATCACAAACAATGACCCAGTCCTCTCCACCCTATCGGGTAAACAATCTACCCTAATCTTGTTACCGTCCGTACAAGCCCACACCCAACATTGCTTGTTAATAGCAAACATATTATTCTCACCTCCGACCATGACTTCCTAAGATTCCCGTCAAGTCTGAAAACATTCTTGAAACGGCCTATTACTTCTTACGTATCACGACTGTCCTGTCATGAACGAACGATGGGCCACATATGTGCCGTGATTGCCGCCGTTGAGGTGGATCTCGTGTGTTTCGGTCGGTGTTTCAGCGGGCCCCCGCTCTCTCCCTTCTGTGTCTCCTCCCAGACGGGACGGGCTGGTCTGTAACTTACTATTCATTAGAAAAATATCGCTTACGCATTCGTGTAATTATAAATGAAGTTATAAGGGCTGTTGCAATGGACGTGTAACTAGGGATACTGTAGATGAAATGATCGTTGTGAAAGTAGATGGGACCTCGGGTCGCTTTTGATTTATAGTGTTTATAAAGTTATATACAAGAATGTGAACAACTTCATCCTTGACCCTCTATCACCTCTCCCTCCCCTCTTCCCATTCTCCCTTCCGGATAGATAACCATGCGGACTGAGTGCATTTACTCAGCAACGCACTGGTAGTAGTAGTCGTTCTGGACCTTGCAGGTGTAGGGGCTGGCACAGACGGTAGGGCCGGTCCAGTTGATACCACCGCACTGGTAGTACTGGTTCACCTCACCAGCAGAGTTGGTAGCCGAGGGACCCTGGGGGTCGCTGACACCGACGACACCGCTGCTGCTAGCAGCAGCGCTGGAGCTAACCTGGCTGGGGGCAACGGCAGCAGTGGTGGTGGGAACGTAAACGGAAGTGGTAACGAAAGCGACGCTGGAAGACATAGGGGCGACGGCAGGGGTGGTGGCAACAACAACAGGGGTGGTGGCAGCGACAGCGCTGGAGGTGGCGCTGGACAGCTTGCAAGGGGACTTGGACTTGGACTTGACCTTGCTGAGAGTAGTCTGGCTGGCGGCGCTGGCCGAAGAGGAAGAAGAGGAAGAGGCAATCTCAACCTGGGTGGCGGGGGTGGTGGTCTGCTCAAAAGCGGCAGTGGTGGTGGAAGCAGTGGAGGTAGCAGCAGCAACGGAGACAGAGGCCGAGCTGGAGGCGGAAGCATCACCGCTAGGGAAGTACTTCTCGAGGATGGGCAGGTAGGTGGAGTAGGCGGTGCCATCGGTAGGCTCCAGAGAGTACATGTAGGTTCCCCACCAGGGACCGGCAGACCACCAGGAAGCACCAACCCAGACGTCGGAGTTCTCGGACATGTACGCGAGCATACCCTCGACAGCCTCCTCACACACGGAGTTGACGCCACCGGCGAATTCACCGACGATACCCTGCTTGTTGTTGGTCTTCAGCCACTCGGTGGCCTTCTCGAGGCGCTCCTGGCCGATCGTGGAGCTGACACAGGTCTCGGAAGTACCGGAGCTGTCGGAGTCAAGGTACTGGTGCATCTCATAGATGATCTTGTCCTCGCTGTCGGTCAGGCCAGACAGGTTGTCGTTGTAGGTAGTCCAGTCCCAGGCACCGGTGTAGGCGTTACCCTCGACGAAGATGTACTGGGTGGTGGCACCAGCGGCACGGATACCGTTGATAGCAGCCTGGTTGAGGTCCAGAACCAGGGACTGCTCCATGTCATGGTACTCGTTGTCTATTTCCATTAGTTATCTCTTTGTATAAATGGTATAGTAAAAGGTCTACTCACTGGTATCGAAGATGACCTTGTCGTTGTCGGCAAATTCGGTAGCGACGTTCTTCCACCAGGTCTTGAAGTCGGAGGTGGAAGTAATGATGCTTCCATCACTGCAGGCTGTTAGCCATCATATGCCACCTTTCTCATCCAACTGTATCCACTTACAAACGTCCGTAGTTGTGGGGGTCAAGGACAGCGTAGGCACCGCTGTTGGTAACGAATTCGACAGTCTATGTAACCAGTTAGTGTTGCAACGACCAACAATATCAGGGGCATGAGCGATAACATACCGACTTCAGGTCAGAGAGGTAAGTCGAAGCGAAAGAGCTGGTCAAGCCATCGGGAGTCAAACGCTCCATGAGGAAGGGAATACGGAAGATGTTCATGCCCTTGTTTCTCAGGACCTGGATCTTGGAGGTCTCGGGCCAGGTGTAGTCGGTTCCCAGGGTGCCGGGGAGGGCGGAGCCGAATTCAGCGCCGGATTCACTAGTACCAACCCCTACTTCTGTTAGAGTGGTACAACGAAACTCGGACAAACATCACATACACTTGAAGCCAGAGTCACGCTTCTTCATCTGGCGGCTGGGGAGAGCGGACACCATGCTGGCGGCAGAAGCCGCAACGATCAAGTTGCTAATTCTCATTTTGAAAAGAATGTACGTCGACCTGGTCGATCAAAAGAATGAATGACTAAAGGTAAGAAAGAAGGAGTGAAAACACAAGATAGAAGACAAGTAATGAATGTCAAGAGCCAGTCTTGATTGTGATGTGCCAAGTAGAACGAACGAACGGTTCGGACTCCCCATACTTATAATCGATCACTCGGCCAAAAGCAACCATCCCATAATTCCCTATCATTTCTCTGGTCCCACTGCTTAATCTCAGCAAACGCCTTAGGTGCTTTCTCTGAGACAGTTACCTTGTGGCCCGCCAGGGGATCCATCCACTAGGGTGGACTCCTTGGAGTCGAGAACCTCTCGCCCGATTCCTCCGAATAAGGGCACTGGGCCGGCGCTGGGCTAGCGCCGGTCCCTGAGCGACCCTTAATATCTGGATACGCCACGGGCGGAAAACAGGAAAAAAAGAACCACGAAAGCAGCTTTTCAGCTGCTGTAAAACTGTGATATTCACGCAATATGTGCCAAAGCCGGTAGTCGCCACGGCATATCCCCGAACTCCTCTGTAGAACGCTGGGGTGGTGGTGGAGAGCGTGTGTAGACCGTTGTTACACCTCAAGGCTTAGCCACCTAATGGAAACAGCCATGCCCGCATCGTCGCAACCATATCGGAGGGGATGCACTGGCCCCGTGTCAGTCACCCTTCATTTCTCCAGGTCAATATTGCCTGCCTGGAAGCGTGGGGCCATACCATGGCATCGCGCAGGAGATCCGATTAAGATGAAACGAGTTAGCAGCCTAAGCTTCCTGTTCGTTGGTGGAGTGTTTCCACGGTTAATTAAATTTCTTCCGGGCCGGTGGGAGCACGGAACTGGTCAATAGGCCCGGAGACAAAGAAAGCCGTTAGTCTATTAGCATTCATATCGGCTTGCAGATTGATTGATCACTTTTGTGCCCTCCTGTCCAGGATGGTTTCTTCAGTGGTAATTTCTGGCCGACCCGTCTGTATCCAACAGTGAGACAAGGATTTGGGAGACCCACTGGGACCGTCGGCGGAAATCAGGCGGTCCTTCAGTCGGACCTATTGACATCCCATGCTTTCTCCCAACGAAATACCATCTGCCTGCTGTGGAGGATGCAGAGTCTTGCAAATTGGGGGCAATAATGAGGACAATATTGCGAGGGGAGTGAGCGGGAGAGGTTGTCCACAGGCGTGAGATGAGAGGAAGCGGAGGGTGACAGCGACTCCTGAGAACACGTGCTGAAATTAATTCCGAGGCTGGCCGAGAATCAATAGTACAATAATCCCCTCAAGCCATTAATATGAATTGCCTCCTAATCTGCCAGAACTTCACAAATCCTCGTTCATAGTTCCACCCGGAATAACTCTAGAGGCGAGTCATGTCACTTTCGGCCGGCTAAGTATTGATTGTGGCAACGGCCTGCTTCTACGGGCTTCTAGGAGACTATACTATTAATTCGCTCCATCTCGCAATCGACTTACCCGGAGCTATTGACCTTGGTTTACTATTTTAGGACTCTTTTTATATTGGACGCTGTTAAGAATATTTACATAGCCACAGTCACCGAGGCCGATTGGAAGGCCGTGAGCGGAGAATTAGATTGCTATGGATACTGTTCGGAGCACCCCAGGACATGCCATCGGCGACTCATGAAGTTCTGTCGGCTTCGTTGCAGTGTTGACCGACGTGAAATTCGAATGATCGATCACCCTGGCCGATCGGGATCGCGTTTGCATCGTTGTCATATAATGTGCGTTCGAAATATCGCACACGTCCATCGCCGCTTACCAGTACTACCGTTTGTTGTTGAGTCCCATATGCACCATGCAGGAATGAGAGATCCATTGCATGGTGCTCCCCTCCCGCAGCCCCATTTGCCTGCTTACCATCAACGCACACAGGAGCTACTGTATCTGCCGGTTTCGCGGGTTTCTCGCGAGCACCCAGGATAGGAATGAAGATGCTCTTTCGAAAATACGGAAGGTAGTCCTCCGCAGTGGCATCTTCTGAGAGCTTCGGGAGTGTATTGGTGCTCAGCATATCAAGGAATCGGGTAATAAGAGCATCTTCGTCCTCCCCAGCCTGCACGTGCGTAGCAATGGCTTCATTCATCAGTCTTTCGCCGTCAAGAATCTTAGGCCATGACCGATCCTCGAAAACTGTGTTACTGAGACCCAAAGTCTGATCAGGTTTTGTGGCAACCCATGCAATTTGGTCCATGGTGGATGAGCGATTGGAGACGATTGCCAAGGGCTCGTTGATGTATCCACAAAGCAGGCTGAACCCACCGACATTCCTGGCGGTGGGACTCGCAACCATATCCTGCACATATTCCCGGGTTGACCGCTTCTCGTCAGAAGGCGCAGCAAGCCAGCTACATACAATGGCCCCCCGGCTCTTCGCCCCAATAGCTTGTTCTGATGTATTCTCGCGGTAGTTGGTCAAGACTGCCACTTTGCCTTCTCTGGTCACTCCCATCCATGTTCCATGTGGCTCTCGCGCTAGATCACGGCCACCTAAGATATTGGACCCTGGTGAAGGCCACCAGTCAGCGGGAGATGTCGGTCGACGTATGTATTCCTAGACGCCGTTAGTTTTGGACGGATCCGAGCATGTGGTTTGAATCATTGTCGCGTACATCCCTGTTGTTGATGATGATCAAGGGATAGGAAGGATGTGCGGTGGATAGAAGCGCGATACACATTGCGACGTTTCTGGGAAACAGAGGAAGCAGGTAGGAAAGAATTCTGATATAGTAGTAATATTCTTGAGCTCGGCGTCAGGCAAGCGAACTGCCGCCACCTATATGAGGGGAAGGGTAGTCTCGTGCGACAGGCGGGTAGGATCGGGCGGCGAGTACTAGTCTTGTACAATCACAAGTTTCCGTGAGGTTGTCCGAGTCTGATGACAACTAGTAGCAGGGTCCCTGGATTCAATGAGCAGAGTCGACTCAGAAGCGCAGGGCGAGGTTGCTCTGGCGAGTCCAGAAAGCAAGGCGACTGTTGGGCACTGAGGTCATCCGACAACTGGACCGGCAGTTCAGCTCCACCGCCTTCGTGATGCTAAGATAGGCGCTCCGCCTGGCAGTGAGGAATGCCATTGTACTATCAGTCAATGCTAGAGTAGACTAGTAAAGAATGAGTAATGAGGTTAGCCTTCACGGGGTTCTTGCTACAATGGATTTGCTCTTGCAAAGCAATAGTACTATTATCTTCATGATGATATCATAGCGAAACATCATCACAACTTTTATCCATAGCAGTATATATATACTACCAGTAGTGTTAGTCCTCTTCACCTGGAGGACGGCTCTTCAAGGCGGAGTCGGTGTGAAGTTGCTACTTTTGTCCCCAAAGATACATCATTTACTTATATAACTGATAAGACGCTGAATGGAACTGTACCATAGCTTATCGTACCATTCCTTCTTCATTCAAGTCGTTAACCGATATTGATTCGCATGACGTCAATACCGCGGCATTGCCCGAAACGGCAAGGCGGGCAGGCTGCCCTTAGTACGGGACTAGTCCCGAAGAGGAGAGCTAGACTGCCTGAGCCACACGGCTGAGTTAAGGCATCCGCACCGATACTTTCCTAATGCGGTAAGTACCACTGTAGGGCTCGATGGATCATCGTGGCTTGGCCCCAGTTTCTCAAGGCAGCCACGCTCCGTCTTGGGCCTTTTCTCCCCCCGAATTTTACTTCCATTCCTTCTTTACTACCACCTTATCCTCCTTCCTGGAATCCGCAGGCCAATCCGCTAAGATTCATAAAGTATTAGACTTTCCTTGCGGCTGGCCGCTCTCCTTTGTGCTGGTCCGCTGGTCGCGTGAAGCTTCTGCCCCGCAGTCCAGCAGCAGCTCAGCTTACCGATAAATTCTTTTCCCCTCCTATCACCTTCTCTCCAAGGGAACTCAGCCCAGCAAACGGATCAAACTGTATACAATTGCCCATCATGTTCGGTATTATTGCGGACCTTTTGTCGTGAGTACCATCTGCTATCGTTCGTCATCGAGTCCCGGCGATGCCGGTCGACCCCGGACACCCCGGCCCTATGATGTGTACCCTGCACTTTCTCATACGCTATGCATATGCTAACGAGGTTATGCATCTAGCTCAATCATCACGATCCTGCTTCCTATATTTGCCTCTTACAAAGCCCTCCGGACTGGCGACCCTTCCCAGCTGGCACCATGGCTTATGTATTGGGTCGTTCTGTCGGCCGTGCTGATGGCCGAGTCATGGACGATCTTCATTTTGGGATGGTACGGCCACGAGACAATCGCGAGGCATGCTTAGGTCCGTCCGCTGACAATCTGTTGCAGGTTCCCGTTCTATAGCTGGATCCGCCTCTTTTTCTTTTCCTATCTTGTTCTCCCCCAGACCCAGGGAGCTCGGAGTCTATACCAGGAATATGTCGACCCATTCCTGGAGCATCATGAGCGTGAGATTGAGGAGTTCATTGGCCGCAGCCATGAGCGTGCTAAGGCTCTAGGACTTCAGTATTTCTACCAAGCCCTAGACTACGTTCGGGAGAATATTCTGGGCTTGCCGGCCCAACGTCCCGCATCTCCTCCGCCCCCGACTGGCCCGGCTGCCTATGCGCAGTCGCTCTTGTCCCGTTTCAATATCCCAACTGCCGCTGGAGGCACTGCCCCAGCTGCAAGCAACGACTGGCTCTCTGCCATCGGTTCTGCAGTCGCTTCCGTCGCATCTGGCAAGAGTGCTGAAGCACGCGGTGAAGAGTTGTCTGCCAGCGGAACACTGCTGCCACGGGAGGTCGCATCCATGTCCCGTGCGGACAAGGCCAAGTTTATCTCGAACCAAAGGGACATGTTGGAAGTGCTGCGTAGCGCTCTGGCCAAAGAGGAGCGCGACCTGCACAGTGCAGGCGCAGAGGGTGACGACCTGGCGTACGGTGGTGCACCGCTGCGAAAGAACCGCAGCGAGAACTCATTTACTCATGTAGAACATGAGGACACCCAGGAACGCTCGTCCGATGCGCATGGCCGCACAAGCAGCGGTAACTGGGCCTCTGGTTGGTTTGGAGGTGGGGAGCAAGCTGGATCCTCGGGTGTCGACCATGGGAACGAGGGCGCAAGAAGTCGGGCTCACTGATTATTTAGACCAAGCAGATACTTTCTTGCATGAGGCTAGCACTCCTTTTCATCAATGAAAAGCAAGAATGATAGGATAGGATGCCTTGAGCAGCGAATGCAGCCGCAACCTAGTTGAAACAGAAAGATAACAGCGATACGCGAGGGGCAGCGACGTATGCGAAGTAAATGCGCCTTGCCGCAGCCTCTCTGCATGAGCCCCTTGTCACCATGAGCGCGTAATGTGTACAGAAAGGCCCAACCCAACCAACACCACGTAGATTAGTACCGACAGCCTTACGCCCCAGCTGGCTACTAATAACCCTCTATCTACCCCTCCCTCAATCCCCGCAAACACCACCACTTTTAAGTGCAGCGCCATCACGATCGAACATGCGACTTACCACCTTCCTATTCACCCTCATCCATCTCTTAGCGCTCACCTCCGCAGCAATGACAGGCAACTTCATGAGCATGGGGTCTGTATACAACACTACGCAGACAACCATCCAACGCCTCCAGCAGCTAGCAGGGCATCTCGTTCCCAATACATCGAGTCTGAATCTAACGGGTTTAAATTTGACGAATCTGAACCTGGATCTGAATCTGAATTTGACTCAAGTCACCAACCGGACCGGTCCCGTCGTGGATGCTGCGAAGCCGCACATCGCCCGAGCGGGGAATGCTACGAAAGACTATGTTGTGAAACATCCCTACCAGACAATATTTAGCATCGTGGGGGTTTTCTACCCGGCAGGGTTGCTTAGGCTGGTGGGGTATGGGCCATTGGGGCCGTGTGCGAGTATGTCTACTATCCAACTGATTGCATTATGACATTTTTGAGAATGGTATTGCTCGATATTTGCAGTTTTTTCCTACTAGTTACTGCTTGGGTGGTTGGTAATGTTGAGTGTTGTGGATAGTTGCTCTACTGGATTCTGTGCACGGAGTTACTACTACTTAACCCACTTTACTGACCCCATAACTTGGTACTTGCTTATAGGGTCATTGGCAGCATGGAGCCAAACCTACTGGGGCAATCCTGTCGCACGAAGTCTCCGGGCGTGTTTGCAAAGCGCGGCGATGAATGGGTATGCGGCGGCTCCGGTGCTAAACACCGTGCGCGGGGTGATACTGTCAGCTGGGGGTTATATGGCATGGAAGGATGGGTTTGGTGGGAAGGGAGAACAAGAACAACAAGAAGGAAAAGAAGAAAAATCGCGGTGAATATGCCCCCGAAGATGGACAGAATAACGTGAATGATTTTGAGAAAGGATGGCTAGTATTTCATTCACCGGTATCCATAACCAAGGCAGTTGCTGTCTTGTCTAGTTACTCTTCGTTTAAGTACATGCTGGCAGTCAATAGCGTCGGCCCAATCAAGGCAGGACAGATTGAATAGGTAGTGGATTGCTATTAGTTAGACTAGTTACTAGTATTGTCGGTCGGATGGCCGATGTCAGCCAGGCATGTGAGGAATTGGAAAGGAAGGGGAAAAAAATAACAACACGGCCTTTCTCTTCTGCATAGCCGGGATGAGGCGAGATCGCACAAATCCCAACGCAAGTATAAAAAAAAAAAGAAAAGAATTATTATTACTTTCTATTTATAAACCTGCGGTGTCTATCTGTCCGTGTCTGTGACTGACTGTTCTGCTAGTTATCGATAGGGATGGGATGGGTTTTTGCTGGTGTGTGGTAGGCTGGATGCATGTCGGTATCTCCTTGGAATGCTGGGAATCGGCCTTAACGTGGGTTGGTTTGTTGACCGGGCGATCGGGGGTGCATGGTTGGGTGCTCGGGCGTGGGAAGGAAGATCGGTTTTGTGATATACCCTCCCATTCCTATTTTTATTATTCTTCATTTCATATCTTATCCCTTTCACGCGGGATAATTTGTATAGACAAACTTGTATAGATATTATTCTTCTTTGGAAATATTCCAGGAGATATTCAAATTGGGAGGATATGCTGCAACTGCCGCCATCAGCTGAAGAGTTGTGCAGGTAACACAGCAATCAAGCAGCAGAGAGTTAAGGTGTGGTGCTGCCGAATGATTCCCATGACCGTATCATACGGTATTGGAAAGTAAGCTGCTTGCTTTGTGTGGCAAACGCCAAACCTATTGTGTGCCTGAGGTGTAAATATGATAGCATCCAGCGTCATTGCTATGGCTAACAATCCACTCTGACAAGCATCGAAGGTAGGCAGAAGAGAAGAATCTGCAATGCATAGCCCAATCTCACCCATCATTCTCATTCACTATGGGTTTTTTACTCTTTTACTCGATAGTATAAGCGCTTCCAGCGACTCGCCACGGACAATTGTTACTGTGGGTGCCAGTCCCAAGGTAGAACCAGAAAGCGCCAGTGCGAGCCTGAGCGACAAGATCTGGTAACTGCTAGTCCGTTACTAAGTCAGTAATGTTCAATGTAAGAGGGTTGGTTATTTACCCCCAATGATACCACTCTTGGCCTAGTGACATCCTTGGCTCCGGTGGCCGTCGCCGCCTTGACCCGATGGAGCGGAGATTCCGCGTCAAGATGTACTCTTGTAAGCCAAAAATCACAATCAGATGGCGCAGTCACTAAGTCTGACTCAAATCACAATGGGGTGATTCATGTTCTGTTAGACGCACATTCCTTTCGTTCTTACTAGGGTCTAAAACCTGGATTGATTGACGTGGTTCTAGCCACACCTACTCTTTTGCTGTGTGTTGTGTGTGGGTTGTTCCGTGTAGTCACTTACAACCTGGTTGCTTACCCGTTTGGTGTGGTTCTGGCGGGTGTACTTACGCCTAAACCCGAACGGTAATTAAAAAAAAAAAAAAGTGAGAAGGGAAGAAAAGCACCACCAGCAAAAAATAAAAAAAACCACCACCACCAACTTTTACCGGCCAAACACCAAAAGGAAAAAATAGGGAACCGAAATCTTTTCCCTCCAAACTTCTCGCCTTTTTCCTCCCCCCTCTTTTTTCCTCTTCTCCCTTTTTCCTCTTTTTCTTCCCCAGACCCATCGTCGTTGACCACGACGTGATATCTTTCTTGTTCTGTGGTCTTCACTTCCTTCTTCCCCCCTCCCTCCCCCATCTCTCTCGTCTTTCCACAGACGACCCAATCCCCCCTCTTCGATTCCTTTCCCGTTTCGTGTGGGAATCTTTGGATGTGCGGTTCTAGAGCGTGTTCCTCTTGACTGCGGTAACACCACCCTTGACATCACCCTTGCTCCCCCTCCGAAAAAAGCCTCACGCCTTTCTAACGCAATCGTCTTATCAAGACAGCCTTCCGTCCTCTCTTAACCCTCTCCTCATTTCAAACCACTATCAGCGCTTGAATCTTCTTCGCGTATCACCTGTCTAATGAGCTCGATCCCTCCCAAGTCAGGCCTTCAACCTCAAGGACAGAGCACCTCGACTCAGGCCGCCTCCTCCGCACACACTTCCTCTCCTTCAGTGGGTGGGAAATCTCCTACGCCCTCGTCTACCTCGACGACGGCTCCTCGTTCCTACGCCAACGCCACCAAGAAGTCCGCGACGGACTCGACCGCCGCTCCCGTCACCGTGGGCGGCCCGTCGCAACATGGGAAGTCGACTACAGCATCTCCTGTGAGCGGCAAACCCATGCAGCAATCCCAAACCCCCGGCGTCACCATCGTCAATGGCGCCCCGGCCCCGGCCTCCCAGGGCGACCACACTAGAAAGCCGTCCGTGACTATCACCTCCGCTGGCACCTCGGGCTTCATCCCCAACGGTGGCCAAACCGGTCGTCCGAACAGTCTGCAGTTTGGCTTCGCTGCCAACCAGCAGTCGTCTCCCAACATGGGCAATCCCGCTGTCCTGGCTAACCAGCCTCAGTCCGGTCTCGGTGTTACTCCGCCCATGAACCCTCGCGTGACTTCCCCCCAGACTTCTCCTTCTCCCATCCCGCAGCCTGCCTCGAGCGGTGGCCGGCCACCGCCGTCGTCGTATCAGTCCCAGGGCAACGTTCCGAACTTTGGCAGCTTTGGTGACGCTGGCGACAACGTAAGTGGCGAATTTTTTTTCTTTTTTCTTCTGTCTATCTTGTCTACGAACCCTTTGCCCTCTTTTTCGTTCTACTATCTTCTCACGTCAAAAAAAAAAAAAAAAAAAAAAAAAAAATCCAATGAGTGAAAGGAAGAAGAACAAAATTGAGTGGAAATCCCTAGCTAGGAATGGGGCAAATCTTGCGGAGCACATCTCTTTTGCTTGGCATTCCGACTGCATACCTACCCGGTGAAATGCTGTTACTAACAATTCTGCGCTAGCAACAGATGCGCCCGGCTCCTCAGGCACCCCTTGGTCCTGGCGCTCAGTCGACTCATCTGCGTCGCGAATCCTCCCAGTCGACCCACAGCGATATGAGCAACCATATGGGCGGCGGTCCCGGCGGTCGCGGTGGCTACCACCACCAGGGCGGTCGTGGACGTGGATTCTCGCAGTCGAGCTACCAGGGACAGATGCCCTACTCGCCTAACGCCAGCTTCCGTTCGACCCCCAATCAACCCCGTGGTGGTCCCAACATGGCTCCCCAGTTCCCGAACCAGCCGCGCCCGATGCCCTTCCCCAACTCTCCTCACCAGGCGAGTCGCAGCCCGGCGCTGGCTAATGCGCACCCGGCCACTCCTCAGATGAACCAGGTCCCGATGGCCCATCCGCAGATGGCGCCTCAGCCCTACTATGGCCAACCCATGCCCCCTCAACCTGTGAGACCCCATCCCTTGCAAAAACCCGCACGCCGCGGCGGCGCCCTGAATCGCAAAAAAGGACCATCCCGTACCCCAATCACCTCCCGTTCTTCTGTTACCCCTAACCCCCAAATTACTCTGCCTCCGAATCTGGCGCCAGAAAGTGGCCATTTCGAACGGTATCTAACCATGATGAAATCAAAGCAGGGATATCCCACCTTTGACCCGGCCTACGGCTTCTACCCCAATTACAACATGGGTGGTGTGCCATACATGCCCCCGTCGCCGCAGCCTCGCCCTGGCATACCTTACAACGCTCAGGCTCCGTACATGCAAAACCAGTACCCGGTGCAGCCCGCTGCACAGGCCACAGCTCTGTCTCGTAGCCCGTCTCATTCGAACGATCGGCCCGGGTCGAGCTTGGGTCAAGGCCAGCCCCCGGCTGGTGCTCCCGGCCCCGCTCATGCCCACAATGCCAGCCGTTCCTCCAACAGCCCTGCCCCTCAAAAGTCTTCTTTCGTCATCCCCACGGCCAAGAAGAACGCCGTTGTCATCAAGGATCCTGGCAGTGGTGCCGTGAAGACCTTCGAGAAGGCCCCGGCCTCTCCTGCCCGTGTTACCCCTTCGCCTGTCAAGATTGCCACCCCGACCTCGACTCCTCCCCCGCGTACCGGCAGCAGTGCCGATCACACTCGCACCGATTCCAAGTCCACTAAGACGGATGAGGAAAAGAAGAAGGAGCTGAGAGACGCGGTGCACCAGAAGATTGAGCAGGACAGAATTGAGAAGGAGGAGGCCGAGCGTCGCAAGGCGGAAGAAGAAGCGGCCCAGAAGAAGAAGGAGGAAGAGGAAGAGGCCGCGCGCAAGAAGGCCGAGGAGGATGCGGCTCAAAAGAAGAAGGAGGAAGAGGAAGCTGCACAGAAGAAGGCTGCGGATGAAGAAGCGGCTCGCAAGGGTCTTGAGGATCTGAGCTTGAAGGATAAGCCCGCCGAGACTAAGGCCGAGGAGCCTTCCAAGCCCGCAGCTGCCCCTGCCCCTGCTGATGATGACGATATCGACTACGATGCTATCGAACGCGAGATGGCCGAGATCGAAGCTAAGGAGCGTGCCGCTGAAGAGGCCTACTACGCCAGGAAGAAGGCTGAAAAGGAAGAGAAGGAGCGCAAGGAGAAGGAGGAGCGTGAGGCTTACGAGGCCAACATGAAGAACGCTGAGCGTGAAGCCGAGGCCTTGGAAGAGGCCCGTGCTAAGAAGCGTGAAGCCGGTGTTGTTGAAGAGGAGTCCAAGGACAAGGATCTTTTCGCTTCTCTCAAGAAGGGTGGCTTCCCTGCTACCGAGGCCAGTACTCCTGGAGACAGCGGTGCTGCCACTCCCGCTTCTGACATGTCCATGGGACCTCCCTCGAAGCCTGCCAGCGCTAACAAGCGCGAGAAGCCGGCTGCCCTCAAGTTGGAGACCACCAAGGCTGTCGAGCCTCCCCAGCCTAGTGCGGCCATGAAGGCTCTGCACTCTGCTCGGTTCGTTGACGATCTCAGCAAGATTACTTACCCTGCTTCTATTGTCTCCCCGAACCCCGCGCTGAACGCAAGTGCCCCTGCCGACCGCAAGTTCCACTACAACAAGGAGTTCTTGCTGCAGTTCCAGAGTGTCTTCAAGGAGAAGCCTTCCATTGACTGGGATGCGCGCGTGCGTGAGACTGTGGGTGATAGCGATTCTTCTCGCCCTCAGTCCGCCCGGACGCCCATGATGGGCGGCCGCAATTCTTCCCGCCCTGGTGCCGCTCCCTTCCAGATGGGCAACTTCGGCCAGACCCCCAGCCGCGCCTCCAACTTGCCTCCTGGTACCACTTCTGCCGAGCGCTTCGCTATGTCGAACGCCGCCCGCACTTCTTCTATGGGCAATCCGTTCGGCAACTTCGGACGTCCTGGTCTCGGTATTGGTGCTCCTGGTATCAGTCGCACCAACTCTGCAAGCGCCATGCACCCCGGTATGCCCTCATCCCCTCGTGTTGGCTCCAGCAACCGCTCCGGTACGCGGACGGGCAGCAAGCGTGATAAGCAGAACGCAAAGAAGGAGGAGGAAATGGCCAAGTCCATGCCTCTCACTGCTGGCATGGAGGTCAAGGCTCTGCAGGTGTCTTCCACTGGTTGGAAGCCTCGCAGTATTGGCCAAGCTCCTGCTGCTGCTGCTGCTGGGCCCACTCCTGGCGGCGCCACTCACATGCCTCCGGATATGGTGCAGCGCAAGGTCAAGGCTGCTCTGAACAAGATGACGCCGGAGAACTTCGACCGTATTGCCGGCCAGCTCCTGGAAATCGTCTCTCAGTCCAAGGACGAGACCGATGGACGTACTCTACGCCAGGTCATCCAGCTTACGTTCGAGAAGGCTACTGACGAGGCCCACTGGGCTTCAATCTATGCTAAGTTCTGTAAGCGCATGCTTGAGAGTATGAGCGCTGAGATCAAGGATGAGAACATCCACGACAAGAATGGCAACGTCGTCGCTGGTGGTAGCTTGTTCCGCAAGTACCTCCTCAACCGTTGTCAGGAGGAGTTCGAGCGTGGTTGGAAGGTCAACCTGCCCCCTAAGCCGGAGGGTGAGACCGAGGAGGCTGCTATGATGTCTGATGAATACTACAAGGCTGCCGCCGCTAAGCGTCGTGGTCTGGGTCTCGTCAAGTTCATTGGTGAGCTGTACAAGTTGGGCATGTTGACGGAGCGTATCATGCACGAGTGTGTGAAGAAGCTTGTCGACTACGAAGGTATGCCCGATGAGGCCGAGGTTGAGAGTTTGACCAGTCTGCTGCGTACCATTGGTGCCAGCCTCGATGTCTCTGAGAAGGGCCTCGCCTTCATGAATGCCTACTTCCACCGTATCGGTCTGATGATCCAGACTCCTGGCCTGCCCAGCCGTCTGCGCTTCATGCTGATGGTAAGATTCTCGTTACCGCTGTCATATTGACTTGCTCGGTTTGCTAATACTCTTATTAGGATATCGTGGATCTGCGTTCTGCTCGCTGGCAGTCCAAGGATGCTGACAAGGGTCCCAAGACGATCCAGCAGATTCGTGAAGAGGTATGTATTTGGTCTTCCATATGTCTACGTTGTCGTATCTTTATTGACTCTTTTACCAGGCTGCTCGTGCCCAGCAGGAGGCCGAGATGGAGCGTCTTCGCCAACAGGCCAACCGTGGTAGCCGCCCCGGTTTGGGTCGTGGCGATGCCCGCAGTTACAGCGGATATGGTAACCAGGCTCCCCCGCAAGACTTCGCGTCTAGCAAGGTCGGCAGTGATGATCTCCGCCGCCTTCGCACCTCTCGTCAAACCAACCAGCCGATGTCTTTCGGTCCGTCCAGCATGCTGGGCTCCCGCAGCAACAGCGGACGGAAGAATCTGGGCCCTGGTGGCAACTTGGTTCGTGGCAGTGATGACAGTGCTGCTAGCAGCCGCACTGGCACTCCCACTGGCAAGAAGGAAGACAAGGAGGCCGCGTCCTCGATCAATGCCTTCAGGTTAGTGAGCCCAGAGATCATTATTCAGTGACGTGATGCTAACATTTTTTTTCTAGTGCTTTGGCAAGCTTGGAAGATCGTGACAACATGGCCACTTCCCCTCCCTCCAACCCTACCTCCCCTCTGCTGACCAAGTCGCAACCCGCGGTCGAGCGCCGGCCCTCCAAGACCCCGTCCAAGGACGGTGAGGAGGCCTCATAGATTCTGTCGCAATGATAATGAAAAATGATTCCGTTCTTCTGGAAAGATTCCTCACTTCTTTTTTGACACCTAGTCACGACCATGTCCGTCATGTGATTTGAAATGAACATTCCTCCCTAATCTTCTCGTCCATGATTTCGGCGAAAACCAAAAAGATCGGTCGCTCATATTATTCCCGTGGAAATAGAGGGGACTTCCGACATTCTCTTGTACAATTCTGTTGCTACGACCCATAACGGAGGTGGGGGGTTCTTGAATCTAGCGAGATAGGTTTGGTTCGCAGGAGTGTCCATGGTGACCTTTGCTATGCCCTTGCTTTTTATTATTCTCTTTCCATTATTGCTATCATATCATGTATTGCTCTATGTGTCTCCTTTTTTTTTTCTTCCTCGCTTGCTTTCTTTTTCCTTGCATTTTCAATACCCGGAGAGCTTTGACGGTTTCTCCTCTCCGAAACGACGACGCTGCAGTTGATTTGATCTTTCGATTCAAAAGCAGAGACCAGCGTCATCACCGGGGCGGGACTTGCAGGCTAGCCACGACGTTTTACTTATGTCATGCGAGAGACAAGTTTTAGTAGTCACGTTGTTTATGCCTTTCTTTCACTTCCCCTTCTGCATTTGATGCATCTACACTGGGCTCGGTGTGTTGCTGGCGATAGCTTGCAGTGTTCCTGCAGTTGCTTCCTTTTTTCTCTTTCTTTCTACTTTCTTAGACAAAATCTCGTTAGAAAAGTTTCTTATTTTTTTATTCTTCGATTCTTGGTCCTATCCATTCTTCCCTCCCATATTCTTCCTTCCCGACATCCGATTAACGGAATACTAAGTCCCCTCTTGATTGTCTTAATATAATACATCTTGCTATCTTGGATGAGTGTAGTAGTGATAGTAGTATTCATTACTCGATGGCATTGCCTCTGTATCTATTCCTATTGCCACCATTTCTACTTCATTCCTAACCCTATTTACCTTCACTTTGGTTATCGTAGTAGCTTCACTTCGTTATTCACGAAGTATTAAGTAGTGCTACTAGTGGTGGGTATCTCATCCTCTCCGTTATTTATAGTAATCTTGTACACAGTATTCAGCGCTTTTGTGTATGTATAGCTGAGTGGGAGTAGGATCGGAATATACAAACTATGAGTGCCGTTATTGCTTGCTTCCCCTGCTGCAGTACAGTACAGTGCAGTACAGTCAACTCGGCCTCAGAAGTTGTTAAGTAACTTGGCGGCACTACAGTGCATGGAATAGTAACTAGTAGGAGGTCTGTAGAGTTGAAGGTAGAGTTGTATGGATGTATGTATGTATGTATGCATGTCCTTGAAGACGATGAGGAACTGATAATTCAGTTCTAAATACATGATTTTATAGTCCCTTAGAAGAAGAGAGATAGGAAAGGATTATGCTGAGTGAGACACAGCTATTGTAGGAGGAATAAACTTTAACATGATGGTTCGGATATGTTAAGGGAAAGGGAAAGGATGCGTATAAGTAATTTACATTGTTGATTATGATCAGCTAGTTTGATCTATGTATGTGTATGTATGTATGTATGCACTGGCGTGCTTGCGCTCTCTATTGACTCAACAACTCGCTAAGTAAACAAGACAAGACAAAGATAATGTATGTGGAGTGAAGGATCATTCGGGGTAGTGTCTTAGCGGCATCCGTGTCGCTAGGAGCGTGTGTCGCTTTCTTCTTGAATATGTCCTCTTCTGAGCATCGACAAAGTAATGCTGGAGATAGCACCCAGTGACATGCTCATGTGAAAGCTGCTGACAGTTTCACGTGCAATGAAGGGCATAGTCGCCTGTTCTCTTCTGACGTGTGATCTGTGAATGTGGGTTGTTGGATGGATGCAGATGGCCCTAGTGTGATATGGTACCAGTTTGGTGTTCGGTATAGGCTCTTATCGCTCAATCATTTTGCTTTCCAGTGCCGTCTGGAGAGCTGTCTTCGGTTACAATAAGTGGGACATTCATGCTGGATGTGAATGCGCCTGCATCGGCCTCCGTCAATCCAGGGACCTCTTGCGTCTCAGACGTCTGTTTTGGTGACAAAGTCACGTCGCTGCGGTCTTCCACGTGCGATACGGTAGGCTCATCATCTGAGCCTGTGTCGATCTCGGAGTTCTCCACGCTCCCTCCGAGAGGGCTCCGGGAAGCAGCATCAGGTGATCCCAGCGGTGAGGGTGACTCGTCATGACTGACGCTGCTTCGCTCCGACGTGGAGAGCGAGCTCCGCGAGTGAGTGTATGTTGAAGGCAGACCAAGAGCGGCAGCCACAGCAGCCTCCTCGTCAGGCAGCTTTGACACACTGCTATCTCTGCTGGAGCTCCTGTCAAAGATGTGGCTTCCTCGTCGCTCACTCATCTCCAGGATGTGGTTGTAATTGCGTCTGGCGGGGTCTGCGAGACGCTTCTTCTTTTTCTTCTCCCTCTTGGTGGTAGGTCGCACCACGATAACAGGAATCGGTGATTGCTGTAAGCAATACTTGGAGACGGAGCCTGGTAGCAATCCTTGCATACCACCCAGATTACGGCCTCTTGTGCCCACAATGAGGATAGCGGGTTCGTAGATTCTGATCATGCGCTGAATGATGTCCTGGACTTTGCCAACAGCCAACTCCAGGACCAAGCTGATCGCTTTCTCATTCTGGGTGTTCTTCTGGATCACTTGTTCGAACAGCTTCTCTGCTTCCTTGCGGTATTTTCCCGCCTCGACTGCGGCGTCACTCGCGATACTGGAGTCCTTTTCCACCGCACGGAGACAGACGATCTCGTCGCCATCGTCGACCAACTCATCGATGAGCCACTCGAGCGCGAAATCGGAATAGTCGTTCTGATCTGTGCCGCAAAGGAATGTCCGACTGCGTCGCGTGCTCTGGTATCCTTTGTGTTTGTAGTTCAGAGTCAAGGAGAAATCTGCCGCATCGGGATTATCAAAGGTATCGAAGGAGACGCCCCGCTCGTAGGTCCTAAGCAGCCAGCAGATTAGAGATTATATCAACCAGGACAAGTATGTAGTAACACTTACTTGGGTGGAGGAGGGGATGGGCCGCGCACAGCAGCACCAACAACAGGTCTGGCCTCCCTCTCAGCAGGCACCTGTGAAGGCGAACGCCTGCGATCTGAGACACTAGCCGAGCGACTGGGAGGCAGGGATTCGGAACCGCCAATATTAAATGAAATAGACTTCCTCCTAGAGTCTCCACGTGAAGCTCGCGTGGTAGAAGCGGTCCTGGGACGGACAGGGAGTGGCTCGTTGCCGTCCAGTGAAGGAAATGACATGACGAGGGAAATGCGCCCGGGTGGGTTTGGGAGTGAGGGGGTGGAAGAGGGGTTTGTGGTGGTACTTCTTATCGGAGGTTATGTTGTTCGAGATGAGATGTAGCCTGTTGCAAAGAATACAGGATGACAACCGGAGATTAACAAACTCAAATGGGAGAGTTGCTCAGCCACCGTGAAGATCCAGACGTTCTGCCAGTGGTACGATGCGCAAGACGCAGACCATGGTTTGGCGGTACAGGATATCGGGGCTTATCAGGATGGAGCTCCCCGGGCAGGTTATGCTTGGAAGGCGAGCTCAAACGGGAGGACTGGGTAGGAAGACTCGGTTGATGCAGATAGTAAGATGGATAGATGGATGCTAGTAGAGAGAGTAGCTCAGTCACTGAGAAAGAGGGGAACAGAGAGAAGTGGGATCAAGTCGTCACTCGGTGCGGAAGCCGGAAGTGGAATGAGAAGCACAAAATCCGGAAAGGAGAGGAGGAGATCCTCCAAGCGGGGCAGGGCGGTGAAAGGGGGGTTTACTCTATGATGTTATAGCAACTTTTACAGTATGACAGTATGATGTTTAACTAACTAATGCATCACGGGACGAAGTCATTGGTACACAAGAGAGGACAAGCATCTGGCAAGTCAGTAATGCTAGTTACAGGAACAGACTGACTGCAAAGGTCATACAACACCACCAGCTACCCCTCTCTTCCTCCTGCCGGCAAAATAGTCTATACACACTCACCCAGCACGCACTACCTCCCACACTCCTGAATGGTCAATTAATTATCGCAACTCGAGGGAATTATCACGAAGAGAGAAAATATAACAATAAAAAGTACTAAATAAACAAATATCTGCCCAACTATGGAGTACACTGTCCTACACCTCGCAACGCGAATTAAACTAAACAAGCCCCATCACCATGAGGGAAATAAATTCTCCTATCTAGAGTGAATAAATAGTCTGATTGAGACTGACCCACATCAACGGCCACTCTAATTTTTCTTCAGGGTCTAACCAAGCGAAAGAAAAAAAATTTTCGGAGAGAACGGCAGAGATCAGAACCGAGTACCAGAAAAAAGTTCACATGATCGGAGATGCACTAATTATCGACTCCGTATGTGATGTGAATAAAGTATCTAGCCATGGACATCCGTCACCCGAACCTTCCGGACAAGGGACGGACGGGATGGGATAGCCTAGATACTTAACTTGCTTTGGGTTATCAAGGGACAAACAAACACTACGGAGTACGGAAGACTCCCAAAGTAAGTAATGAAGGTGAAGGTCAGGATCGGCAGTGATGATCCGCGCGGCGGATCGATCGCCCATGTGATGCATCACGGGGCGGTGTGCTCAATAGTAGTCCACTGTGTCGAACAAGTCGGGGTCTGGATGGGGATAGCGAGAGGTGAGTGTAGCTGAAGAGTGGATGGGCGGGCGATCGGCACTGCCATCCCGGTTCTGGCCCAGCCAGCGGAGTTGGGACGGCGATGTGTCGGACTTGCACTATTTACTAGCAAAGTACTTTGCCCAGGGCCAGTCGGTCATGGTCGCCCAATGTATCTGGCGATTCGCATCAGGCGAGGCCTAACCTGACTAGTCGCGGTCCAAGAAGTGGAGACAGGCACGACTAAAATCATCTATCAATCGGCTATTGACGGCCATGTGGGCTGGTCTTAATCTACGGTGAAGATCAAATCTCATCAAGGAAGTTTCGATGAAGAGCATATCTCTCTTATCTCTCTATTGGTCTTATTATGGAGCACGATGGAGGTTTCTAGTAGTTTGATATTCATTCATCATGGGATGTCATCTAATATTGCCTCAAATGAGGACAAGTAAAAAAAGGTTCTCGACCGTCTATCCCTGCGGCCTAACTGTGGGGACCATATCGATCCAAGAAATAAAAAAGAGTAGAGAATCACTGCCCAAGCGCTCGGGCATGCAATGTAGATGATGCGATCTCGAACAATGCGAAACAGTAGTCTCAAATAAAAAACAGAATGCCCAACCAGAATTTCCTTTTATCGTGTCGCAGATTAGAACGCCGGACCCGCTATGATAGTGGCGACTCGCCCAGAACAAAATCAAACTTTCCAGAACAATTCATCAAATAGAGGGGGTATCACGTATGGTACATTGACGTAGTCGTCAATTGGCCGGGCACAATCAGTACGCCTCGATAATCGTGCTGCGTGCCTGGCCAGGGACGTAATACCCATTGTCGAGATCCGTAGGGGAGAGGGGGATCTCTGTGGTTTGAGGTTCCTTCTCGTTGAATGTTTCAAGGGTCGGTTGGGGAGGCGACGGCGGCATGGTGTCGTCTTCTGATTCTCCATCCGAGTCGGACAGCAAGTCGGGAGGGGTTTGTCGGGAGGGTGAGCGGGTCAATGTCAATTCCTCCAAGTCTTCCGCGTCATCGTATTCAAAGTCCGAGTCAGAGTCGGAGTCGTAATCCTCCTCCACTTCCTTTTCGGTGATGATGGCGACCGGTGATGGGGCCCGCCGACGCACGGGGGTGTAGATGTGAGATTCATCTTCATATTCGTCTTCATCATAGTCGGAGTCGGAGTCGCTGACATCAGAGTCGGCGTCGGAGAGGTCCTCGGGGTCCCAGTCCTCCTCGGGATCTTCGACCACGGTTTCTGCCCATTGGATGTGTCGGGATTCTGAACCTTGCGAAGAGGTCTTGGTCACTCCGCTGACTGTCTGGTTGAACCAACGTTCTTGTTCTCTTTCCGCATCGGCTAATTCCAGCATCAGGGAATCCAGGAGGTTGGCATGGCCAACGAGGAGGCGGAGGTCATGGTCCGCCCGCGAAGCTTCCCGGGTAAGCTTCTTGCGGGCGGTGTGGGCGAGGTAGTATGTTTGAGTGATGCTCATTTTCTTTTGTTGACGCCTCCGCACAATAGAGGTGAAGTAGGAGCTGGGGGTAATGTTGGAAGAGGAAGTCGAAAGGGGGGAAGGAGAGGGAGAAGAAGTAGTAGAAGTAGAAGTAGAAGAGTGAGAGGCCATGGTGCCAAAAAAGTCCGGGAGGACCGTGTTGATGTGCTTATGAGCTCAATGCCAAAAGGTGACTCGTCGCTCTGCGCGGTGACTCAGGCAGCCTTCCCTTTTCCGGCGGCCGCTCAGCCTGGGGGACCAATCAGCGGGCAGAGAGATCGCGGGGCGGTGAGTCAAGGTTGACTGCAGGCGGATCAATAAATCACGACGCCTTATCTTGGGGCGCGACTACGCTTTGATCCGCTTTTTTTCGTTTCCGGCGTCAAAAATGGGAAATGGGAAAATGGATAGTTTATCTGCACTATGTCGGCGCAAAAAATGGATGGGCGCGACCAGACCAGCGATGCGTCGTCCGTTCCTGGCTCCTTCAGGCGTCTCCACTGGTTGTCTGTTCAACAACAGGCAGGGTGAGGCAGCAGTAGTGGCGGGGAAAGCGGATGTGTTGGAAGTATGTGGTTTGAGAAATGCCCTGTGTGCGTATGTAGGATGGTGCACAGCAGTATTATAGTCGGTCTGAGGTGGTCACCCTAAAGCGATGGGTGTGGATGTAGTATGTATGTGGAGGAAGGAAATAGGTACTGGGTACTTGAGAACCTGTGTAGAGAAAGAAAGAAAATGATCAACCGGGAGACAGGGACCAATTTAATATGATATATCCACTTTCTAGGCTGATAATTTTTTCTTGCTGATTTCTTTTTTCGTTACTCAGTGTTTTCTCCGTTTTTCTAATGCTATCTCCATTATTAACCTTACTATATTTTTACCTTTTTTTTTTTTCGCACCGGGGTTTAGAAGGGATATGGAATCGGACCTTCGGAGGCAGAAACCATCGATGCCCATCCGTGGATCGGAAGGAGGGTGCCGGATCCACCAGGGCCGATTTCTCTCGCTCAAAAAGGCAACTGTTAGTTCACCGCCCCTCGCTCGACCCAATCATCATTCCTAAAAATGAGTCACGGCCAGGCTCCGCCCGCTAACTCCGTGTGGACGATCACCGCTCAGCCCAGCCCAGCAAAGAAAATAAAATATTTTGGGTGAAAAACCCTGGACGGGGCGTCGGATGACCAATCTTTCCGCGCCGTTATTTCCGGCTGACGGGAGCTTCCAAGCCTAGAAAATTCCAGCAGATGCCCAGTCATCGCTCGTCTTATGCCAGAATCCCCGATTACTAACTGTACTTCCCATCTTCCATCATCCGTGAAGGTTGCTATTTCCACGGGACCAAAGGGGCCAGCTGGTTCTGAATGAGCCGCCTAAGGTCCATGCGCCAGCTCGTCATGCCTACTGTGTGGTCCGTAGTAATGACACTTTTGTCCGCTTTGAAATCAGCATCCCCGATTCATAAGCTCATGGTGCAGAACCAGAGTCCCCTAACTTGGCCAGCCTCACTACTGCAATGGGTCTAGTCGGCGACACCAGTCACATCCCCACCCGGGGATAGCGACGTTCCTGAGCGCCATGTATACCAACCGTGGAAGTAGACGCGTATTCCGGTCGCGCAGAATAGTAATCAGCAATCATGCACTCATCGTAACCCGAGGGATAACATGAGAGTTTACGGAGTAGAGCGTATTCATTTGGCAGCCAAGTGCATTGACCCAGGTGCGTGCACTAGCCTAGCTAATGCGAATACCTTGGGGAAAGGGATTGATTGACCTGTGCACGGAAGCAGTAATCCCGGGCGGTGGTCAATAATTCGCGAGGCCGAGGCGCGTGTACCTTGGGAGGTTAACTAGCCAAGCGAATACGACGACGGGCGCGGAGTTATGCCTAGTACTCTCCTATCTTACCTACTTACTGCGCTTGCTTGCTCGCTCCCTGGATACCTCCGAATGCGCTGAATGGATAAGAGATACTTCCTGCCTGGATTGGATGTCGCGTACTGTATGGAGTATGGGTGCATAATCTCGCTTCCTTTCTGTCTGGCAACCTTTGCAAAGCCCACGTAAGCCAGAGCTCGGCGATGAAGTATCCACAGGCTGCCACATTTCATGCCTCTAATTGATCAGTGCCTACAAGTCACCACTTTGTATCTGCCTGCTAAGCCAACTAGTAGAATCCGGGGGAGTCTGACTGCCCATCACCACTATGATAGGCGTGTGCTTTGTCTGCCTGTGCGGAGAGCCGCACGTCCAAGCCAGGCTTGGCAGCATCCCTGGTCGCGTAGGGGGATCAAGGCACCACCGCAAAAATTGGGTAGCTACCGAGTTGGGCTATTTGTGTTGATTCAATCTGTGAGGGTTGACCGCTAACGACAAACGTGTCCTGCTCTTGGCGACGTCCTGCTTGCCTGCTTGCCTGCCTCCGCCTCCGCAGTACTGGATGATCACCCCCTGGCTGGCTGAGTACGTATTGGAGATGGCTGTGTTTCGCGAGGTCGTCTAGCTTGCTGGGAAAGTATGGGGGCGGAAATCGTACGTAAGCGTGTTGAGGAGGGGGCTGGATTATCTTGATGATAATCAACGTGCCGCTCTTGGTTTGCTATCAGTTAATCTGTCGTCTATCTGAAACCTTACAGCTTACATGGAGATTTGTCTATCTACACAGCCTCGATGGGGATCCTTGTGGGGAGCAGCAGACTAGTCAGCAACTATCGTGGCTAGTGTGTCATGTGACTCCATCGGTTCACTACTAGTTACTATCTGCTGTTGTCTATTTCCTAGAGAGAACAGAGCTGATAGCAATCACTCTCACCCTCAATAGGCAACTAATAGAAATTGCATATTGGGGAGCAGGCCAAACAACTATCTACAATAGATGATCGCAATCCCCTCGTACAAAGTGAATGTCTGGATTCAGCCAGTTTCAGCAACAGCTCCACGATGAAAACGCCCAGCGTGTCAAGGAATGTCGCTGTGTTCCCTCAAACCACGTCTGGATCCAGCCAGTGGGGCAAAAAGGGAGGGGAGAGGGAGAATCTGACATGGCATCCAGCTTTCCCCCAAAACAGAAATACGAGGAATGGGACCTGACGGAGATCTCCTACCAAGTGCCTGATTCAGTCTGCAGTTAAGTTAATTGCTCGAGGCTTGCTCGTGAAGGTTAATCAGCAAAGCTACTCAACCCAGGGAAGACAATGAATGCTAACCACATCAACAACCTCTCTGGACTCGTTTTCTTCATCCCGCGACCGCTGCCTCGGGGCGACCGGGAGGGCGCCCCCCGCGATTGTCTTCAGGCTGCCAGCGCCCATGCTTGATCCCTACCTGTATAGCAACACCAGAACCTTGTTTACTTCCACACCCTCGCTCCAAGAAGGACTGTGCAGACGTGAGCCCAATGACAGGAGTCCACATCATGCTTGACTCGCTCGTATCAACCTGTCCTTGCAAACACATATTGGCCACACTTGACATTCTCATCATTATCATCATCATCATGATATTACAGACGGCCTGACCCGCCACGACTGTTCGATTCTAGATCATACACATATTCATTACCCTGTTCAAGTTCAGATACTGTCGCTCGATGATTATAAACACACAATAGAAAAGAGAGCCAGGTCTGGATTGATCTTGATTGACGTCACGACATCAGATCCCTGCAAATCCAGCAAACATTACGAAGTAGAAGTGTTGACCTCATATCCCGACCACCAAACATTGACTTCATTTAATCCCCCAGATTTATCATCCATCACCTAACCATCACCCAGAATAACAACAGCAACCGATCCTCGTATTCCTAATCATCATCTTCCAAACACTATCTTGTTTTAAAACTACTATCTTAACAACAACCTTAACTTCTGACACAAAACTGACAGAACATTAATAATCCCATCACTCCCCTGCTACCATGGTAATACACACCACCACAAACCTACTCGTCTGCGTTACACCATCAACTCTACGCATAAACATAGTGAGGATAAAGTAAACTTATTAGTATGTCGGACATAACCCAACCCCATCGCGTAACTCCTAATCCCTATCTCCCCTACCCAGCACCAAACCCACCCAGAGAAAATACATTCCGTGTGAGAAGGTAAAATCGGCGTTTCGCACTCCCAACCTCCGACCGGCCGCGCGAGGATACGCCGGAACCGGCAACCAAATGTACCCAGCCCCGTGATCTGACCCATGGTTCACTCATGCCCACTAATCAATCAGAAATCTCCTTCCCATGTGAAGCGAATGAGTGAATCACTCGGATGCACGGCATTGATTAAATTAATCTTCAGCCTTGTGTGATTTTTTACCTAATTTTTTTTTCTGCCGGTTTTATTTTTTCTTTGGGTCCCGGGATCTAGTTACCTTTTGGTTTTTTTGATTAGTAGAGATGACTTTTACTTGATCTCGGGCCGAGGGTGGGCTTTGGCTTTCACTTGCTGATTGATTGACTAGCTATCTCGTGATGATTGATGATTGAGGCTTGATGATGGATGAGTCATTGCCATTGTCTGAGTTTCCGATTTTCGCGTGGTGGTTTAGGTACGGACCCTGTAGACAGGGGTGATAGGAGCGATGTCGTCGAAATGCTCCTATTTAGTATTTCATATGATGTTGTTGGTGGTGTTGAGGGGAACTGCGTTCGACAATCAGAACGGTGCGGGTGGGTGGCGATACTATGTGAAAAGGGTCCTAGTTACATACATACAAAGTATTAGAATGAATGGAAGTATGCATAATTAATTGTGAATAGCTTATTCTAGTAATACACAGCACCTTTAATGCCTCGTGGGTATGGTTAATTAATGCCTTCTACATTGCTCTTAGTTGCCACCCTGCGGAGTCGGGGTATGGATCCCCGGTGCCGAGGCAGTATGAATGACTAGTAGTTAATTTTTCTTTGAGCCATATTGATTGCTGGTGGTCGGTTAGTATCTCATTGAGGGAAATAATGTCAAAGCGATTAATGGCAGTTATGCAGAGACGGGCTTGTGTTATGACATGCACTGCATTTCCTTTACTTGAACTAGGATGTATGTTGAGTAAATAGGAGCCTCTTCTCCCCCACCAGAACCAGGAAGAAGCTGATCATCGCAACCAGCACTAGTAGTAGCTACCTCCTGTAAGTAACTATGAATATTGGTACTAATAGCAATAACTCTTTATATTATATATCCTTATCTATATCCATTTTATTCTCTTCATTGATCTTATATATCTCAAAAAGTGAGAGTCTGCTCATACTAAGTACTTAGTAGTATCCTTCAGCACAGGGTCTTCATTAGTATCTCACTATATCAGCTGTTAAACTGATCTTTTCATCCACTCCTGCTGGCATAACTATATTCCCATTGGGATTGTAGACGCGGATGATGAGTTTCTCATACTCCGATTTGAAGTATAGTGAAGCAGATAGAACATTATTATCATAACCGAGGAAGATTGGAAAAAGTAAAGTAGCACCTTTAATTTGTTATATACATAAGGTCCTGGGACTTAAGGTACTTGCAGGACTGACTCACTACTAAATACCCGGTTATTTATTATTAATTCCTACTTCATTTTATCCGAGTTGAATGTGGAAGTAACGAGGTGACAGTGTGATACAAGCATGCTTGAGATAACGCAAAGCCATGGTAATGGAGGAGCAACACTTCGAGATCGATGCCATCGTCCTTGCTCTCGATATGATCCTCTCTTGCCATCTTCAAAAAAGTGACTGAGCATGTCTACAATGAAAAGGCTACTGGCAGTGAATGAATGGCGTTCCTTTCTTCCATACGCACCTTCCCCTTCGTTGTAGATTGACCTATACTGTTAGCAATATCACAGATCATTAGCATCATTGTTTTTCTTCTCTCACCTTCAATTCATACCATTATCCTCATCAGTACTATTTTACGTTTATCGATACCACTAAGAACGCCACCACGTTCTGTCCCTACCATCACGAGGAGTTCAATCGCGATTGTAGCCACCACTTTAGCGATCCTGGTATGGATAGGATCAACTATAACCACTGCAAAAGCCTGTTGGTGGGCGAGATGGTACCGGGACTGGAGGGAGAGTCTAAGGAGGGTCTCGAAGGGGTGATCTCCTTGGGCAAGAGATCACCTCGAGGCTGATCTGGATGATCGCGACCACCATGAACAACCACCTCTCACTGGCAGTGAAGATGCATTTTTCGCCTCCCTGAATGACCAAAAAATATCTGCAGATGACATAGCAGCCTTCTCTCACCGGTTGGACGCATATCTTCTGAGTCCCAACAAACTTAGACCTTTCGATCACATCATCGACCACCCAAGATCCTACGATCACATCAACGATCACTTCAACAACCACATCGTGCACCAACCTGAGCAACAGATCGTTGAACTAGGGCAGGTCATCGACCACCCAGTCCAACACCGTCGAGCATGTCGTTGACCGAAGCAATTGGACAATCAGCCCAACGAGTGATCGAGCAAATCATCGAACACATCGTTCTCGAGCCCACAGGTCCAGCAACACAATCAGAACAAGACAGTTGAACAACGGCCCGATATCGTGCAACCTGGCGAGTAACAAGCCATCAACGAATCTGCACAGCACATCGCAGTTAACAAGCGACCCGACCAGCATGTCGAACCAGAACAGCCTGTCGGAAACAGCCCTACGACGCCAAAACCGCTCAAGCTACAGGACCTGATGAACAATTATATGAGCTCGACGTCGTCAGATGCCTACACACCACCCGACATCATGCAAGCTTCAACTACACCACCGATCGCCGGCCCCTTACTTGACCGTCCACGCAACGGGTAGCCGCTGAAGAACATAGATAGTCAACCCAGAGACGCTCGACAAAGACGCTACCGAGGCCGTTTGGGATCAGTTCATCAACTACGGTCCCGACGATAAGGACACAAATGACGACCACGTCAGCAACCGGGGCCCTCCTGGCGATGGCGACCATGTTGCCTGTGGAGTTGCGTGAACGGCAGGGAAGTCACCGCTGCACTGGCGTTTGTCTGCTCAACAACGAACTCAGGTTTCTGCGCCCTGCTGGCGATGACTGCCAAGGTCAGAAATAACTCAGCTTTCATCCTCAGTCACTAATGTATGTTGAGTGTCGTTAAATACTGCGGCTGTATAGAAATGTCAATGCTGCAGATAACTAGATTATGT